GGCCCTTTCTCCATCCCGGATCCCAGCACTCCTCCCCAGCATCCCTTCCAAGGGTGCTTTTCCAGCTGCTCCATCCGCTTCTCCCCACCAGCTCTCCGGCAGCCAAGAATTGGGAATCCAGGGGCAATGCTTGTGGGACATCCACGGGGACAAGGCAGGAGCAACACAGCACTGCAAACCCCACTGCCACCAGCACGAGTGGGTGCTGACTGGCTCCCTCCTACCTCGTGGTGAGGGATCCCTGGCTAAGGGTGTCCCCCTCTCCCAGCAGTTCATCTTCACTGTGGTAATACATCTCGTCCTCTTCCATCCTGCGAGGGTGGTGACATGGAGAAACGTCAGCCCTGTCCCTCCGGTCACAGCAGTGGTGGTGACATTCATGACCCTGGGGGCTGGCAGAGGTGGGCGCAGGGCAGCAAGACACGGCCGAGCCTGGCAGCCCCCCACGCTCAGAATGACCTGCTGTGGGACAGGACTCCAAACCAGAGGGTGGGACAAAAGAGGCAGCTGAAACCTGGTTTAGTGCCATTGTTCACACGTGAACTTGGGAAGGGGCTACAAGGGCTCTCCTGGCAGTGCTGGGGCCGACGGACCGCCCGCAGCACTCGGCCTTGCTCGGCGTAAGCCTGCTGGAGAAAGAGATTTATTTTTGTCTGAAACACCATGGATCCGAAGGAAAAACTGAAGCCAAATATCAAGGGACTTTCACCAAACTGTGACCACCGGGAACTGCTGTCCCACCTGCTCAGAGACCTGTGGGGGAGATGCGGGACAAGGATCACTGCCACAGCACCATCTGCATTTGCAGATGCCACAGCACCATTTGCAGATGCCACAGTCCACAGCACCATTTGCAGATGCCACAGCACCATCTGCATTTGCAGATGCCACAGGCCACAGCACCATTTGCAGATGCCACAGCACCATCTGCATTTGCAGATGCCACAGGCCACAGCACCATTTGCGGATGCCACAGCACCATTTGCATTTGCAGATGCCACAGCACCATTTGCAGATGTCACAGCACCATCTGCATTTGCAGATGCCACAGCACCATTTGCAGATGCCACAGCACCATCTGCATTTGCAGATGCCACAGGCCACAGCACCATTTGCGGATGCCACAGCACCATCTGCATTTGCAGATGCCACAGCACCATTTGCATTTGCAGATGCCACAGCACCATTTGCAGATGCCACAGCACCATCTGCATTTGCAGATGCCTCAGGCCACAGCACCATTCGCAGATGCCACAGCACCATTTGCAGATGCCACAGCACCATTTGCATTTGCAGATGCCACAGGCCACAGCACCATTCGCAGATGCCACAGCACCATTTGCATTTGCAGATGCCACAGCACCATTTGCAGATGCCACAGCACCATTTGCATTTGCAGATGCCTCAGGCCACAGCACCATTTGCAGATGCCACAGCACCATTTGCATTTGCAGATGCCACAGCACCATTTGCAGATGCCACAGCACCATCTGCATTTGCAGATGCCTCAGGCCACAGCACCATTTGCAGATGCCACAGCACCATTTGCATTTGCAGATGCCACAGCACCATTTGCAGATGCCACAGCACCATTTGCATTTGCAGATGCCTCAGGCCACAGCACCATTTGCAGATGCCACAGCACCATTTGCATTTGCAGATGCCACAGCACCATTCGCAGATGCCACAGCACCATTTGCAGATGCCATAGCACCATCTGCATTTGCAGATGCCTCAGGCCACAGCACCATTTGCAGATGCCACAGCACCATTTGCATTTGCAGATGCCACAGGCCACAGCACCATTCGCAGATGCCACAGCACCATTTGCATTTGCAGATGCCACGGCACCATTCGCAGATGCCACAGCACCATCTGCATTTGCAGATGCCTCAGGCCACAGCACCATTTGCAGATGCCACAGCACCATCTGCATTTGCAGATGCCACAGGCCACAGCACCATTTGCAGATGCCACAGCACCATTTGCATTTGCAGATGCCACAGCACCATTTGCAGATGCCACAGCACCATCTGCATTTGCAGATGCCACAGGCCACAGCACCATTTGCAGATGCCACAGCACCATCTGCATTTGCAGATGCCACAGCACCATTTGCAGATGCCACAGCACCATCTGCATTTGCAGATGCCACAGCACCATTTGCAGATGCCACAGCACCATTTGCATTTGCAGATGCCACAGCACCATTTGCAGATGCCACAGCACCATTTGCATTTGCAGATGCCACAGGCCACAGCACCATTCGCAGATGCCACAGCACCATTTGCATTTGCAGATGCCATGGCACCATTTGCAGATGCCACAGCACCATTTGCATTTGCAGATGCCACAGGCCACAGCACCATTCGCAGATGCCACAGCACCATTTGCATTTGCAGATGCCATGGCACCATTTGCAGATGCCACAGCCGTACTTAGCCTCCATATGTCCCACTGCCTGTCTATAAACTGTTGCATTTATTTCAGCTCTCCAACGGGAAGGATTTTTCACCGACCACATCCAAACCAACCCCTTCTGCTCAGCGCTGTCTGCATGGAGCCCGCACAGCTCAGCAGCCTTCAGCCACCCCGCAGCTCTGTGCGCCCGGGCAGGGGTGCTCAGCTAACCCCACACCTCCTCCTACAAACCGTCCCCGGGTGGGATCTGCCAGGCTGAATGTGGCTGTCCTCACCCTCCAGCTGAGCTGGTCATCTTAGACTTCACAGTCCCTGAAGACCTAATCCAGAGCCCCAATTCATCCGACTGCCTGCTGCAGGCAAAGCGTCAGCTACGCGGCATCAATTACCTCTCCGGTGCGATTAAAGCCACGTCCACGTCCCCAGAGCCCACGTGGCGCTGGCAGGACGCTGGTTCCCCAACAAACGGGGCTGACACAGACTGAAACCCACTCTGCAGGCCGGGCTGGCCCCGGTACGCTGCCCTGCCATCCCTCTCCTAAATCCTGCAGCATCCTCCCTGTTCGGCAACACCACGGGCCGCTGAGCTGGGAAACGAATCTGCACTTTCAATTTGCTCAAAAATTCGCAGGTTTCAGCCCAGTTCACACGGTTAATTAACTGCCTAGGAGTGATGCCAAGAAACTGGAGATATATTCCCTCAGTCTCGCACTGTGGGGAAAAAGAAATTTTGTCCTTATCTGGCCACAATAAAGTGCTAAACCCAGACAGAAAGCAAACGCTACCGAAGCACACAATTGCATAAACCCAGCGGGGGGGTGCACGGCCCCAGCGGCGCCTGAGATATAAAATCTATTTAAAAAGCAGCCAGTTCCTAGGGGTATGTTTGGATTCACACCTCCAGGCTGGGCTCCCGTGTGGATTTGGAAACACGAGGGCTGTCCTTCTTTGACCCACCAGCACCTTGCAGCCCTCGGGCAAAGGGCTGGGCTCGGCTCTGCTTGGGCTGCCTGCACTCTCTGCCTGTCCCACTCATAAAGGCTCTCTCCTCTACCAGTTGATGTCTTTCCATGATACTTTTAGCAAATTCAGGACTCTGATGACTCCACTCTTCCAGCTGAAAGAGGCTGATGGGTTCAGGATATACTGGAGTGGAGACCAACAGACAAAATCACTATCACAGACAACGCGACTACATAAACTATGTAAAGCTGCCTGAAAATCTGGCTTGGCAGCCCGTGAACCCAAAATATTTATACACAAGTGGTTTTACACTTGCAAAATTCGGTTGTCTGATGAGCTGGGTGAGGATTTGAGCAGAGGGTTCGAAGCACCCGTGACGGGGTGGACTGAATCTGGCCCAGCATCACCGGGCCCTCAGTGTTTGTCCATGCCGTGGCCTCGTGGCTGCATACGAGGTGCTGAAAGGGGCTGTTCCTCCCAGCCAGGACCAAGCTCTGAGCACCCATAAGCAACAACTCATGGCAGAACTGGTCCCAGCTTGCACTTAGCCCCTTTCAATGAACATAAGTCAACTGCAGCACCCCCAGCCCTGAGCCCTCTCCACCCATCCCAGTCACCAGGCTGCATTTGCAACTTGTTACAGCAGTTTTGTGTCAAGAAACGGAAGGATACAGTCCCTGGGCTTGTTTTCCTCCAGTGCCAGGTCCCATGAACTCAGAAAGACGCAAGGGGGATGCTAAGGACCCTTCAATAAATAGAAAGCTGGCAACAGCATCCCTTAGAAGGACTGGAGGTGTCCCCCCCCTGCCACCACGGGGTGAGGGGTCCCTCAGATAATCCAAACAGGGCTCAGCTGCCCAGCACTGCCTTCGGTTTGGGATTTCATGTAAGCTTGGTGAGGTACTGAGGTCCCGACAGGCTGCTGTGGAAGGGGCTTTGACAATGGCTTTGTGAGACTGTCTGAGGGTTACTGCTGCAAGGGCTCGTCCCCTCCTCCATGCCACAGCGTCCCCGCGTTCTCCTCCAGCCTCTGCTGTGCCAGCTGCCTGGCCAAGGGATGTGCGCACTCATGGTGCCCCAGCCCCCGCACACAAACACGGGGCAGGGGCACTGTCACTGGCACCTTCCACCCCAGAAGTGTCCCCGCTGGTGCGGTTTTGTGGCCGACATGCCCTCCTTCCTCTGCCCCTGGCTGCAGCTGCACTCACCCTTGGCAGATTCTGGGGGGAACCACGAGCTCCATCGAGATGCAAGACCCCACGCGTGGCTCTAATCCCATCTTATATGAGACCTGACCAGCAGTCAGACCCTTAATCCTCCCTGAATCTCTACTTAATTACATTTTCTCGGCAGCATTCGCTGTGTTCTACAACCCTCAGCATCTGCTGGAAGACTCAGCTCTGTGCTGGGCAGGCGTGGTGGAGCGCCTGCTGGCACCCAGGGATGGACACTTCCAGCCCATCCTCACCTTGAGCTGTGATAATGGGTCTTCTGGTGGCCAGGAGATGTGATGCACCTTAGAGGAGCCCTGGGGCAAGGCTGCCCTTTCACAACGAGCCAAGCCCCCCCCATCCCTGCTGCCATCACACATCTCCAAGCGCCGAGCATCACATTACCTTCTGAAGCTCCTCTCCGCGGACTGCTGGTTGGATTTGCCTGGAGAGATGTCCAAGCCCTGCCGGTGGCTGGAGAGGAGACTGTCTGTCTCTAAGGGGTACCTGCCATCCCCCTCTGAGTGGACGCTGGGGGTCTCCAGGAACTCCTTGTCATTCCACGTGCCCACTGTCCCGTCCAGAGCCTGGTACCTGATCTCTATGGAGATGCTGGTCTGCAAAACACAAGGGAGACACAATCAGCCCCCAAGGGCAGCACAGGGAAGAAGGAAGGTCTTGAAAAATCTGAAAGGAAGAGCTCTTGCACCAGGTGGCTTAATCTCTGAGCCTTGCTGACCCCCCCCAGTCTCTTCTTTCCTAGTGCCTGAGTTGGAGAGCAGGTCTTTGCCTTCAGGAGGTAGTTTGACCCAGCTCAGGCATGGTGCTGCAGCCTCCCTCCTGCTCAGGGACCTGAGTCACTTGGAGTTGCTGGTGCATCCCAGACCAGCTACAGCAAATATGAGAGACGTAAAAAGCCCTGAACAGCAGAGGAACCCTTAGAGCAGCCGTAGGCACCACGAGCAGATGAAGCCGTATCATATTGGTGGGTTTTTTCTCCGTGACGCATCACCTTGCTAAGAATTTGTGCCCTGCTGTTAAGTGCTGGGCTGCCAAGCCCCATGGATGACTTGCTCCTGCCCGGCCCCATCCCAGCCCCAGGCAGGGTGAGCTTTGCCAAGGGATGAGCCTCCCTGGGGAGGTTTGGATAGACCCGGGGTTGGGGTGGGGGTCTCCCAGCCTGGCCGTGACCAGCCTGGCTGGGGCTTGGGGGCGGGAAGGGACCCGGCACTGGGTCTGTTCAAGCTTGACCTAAAATTTCTTCTGGATAAACTAAGTTCCTCTCCCTCTTCTACGTGGTCATTCCCCACTTACTTACCCGAGATTGCCCCTTGCTGCTGCAACAAATTCCGGGTTAGAGCTCTCGAACATTTTTCCCCACCAAATCATTCTCTGGATTTAAAACCCAACCAAATACGTGACACTTCATCTTGCTGCAAAGAGCCACTGGCACCGCCTTTGCCCTGATGTTCAAAGTCCTCCTAAAACCACTGCTTTCGACAAAGCAGCCAGAAAAATCTCTCTCCTAAAAACATACCTATTTTGAAAGGCAAACAGCTGCTACAAAGATCAAAGCAAAAGCAAAAACCATCCTCCACCTCCACTCAGCTTCCATGGAGAAATTATAGGTTATATCTGATGCAATGGCAATCAGTTTTAGACACAAGGACAAAACGAAAAGGCTAACCAACTGGAAAATTTATTACAAAATCTTCCGTTTTTCATGTATATGTTGAAGAGGAGGTACAGCATCCTGATTTGCTCCATGCGCAGCTTGTCAAAGGGATGATGAAAGGCTGGAAAATACAAGCTAGGGCCTGGAAGGATTCTGTGCGTTTAGGAAATGACAGCTAAAGTGTGACTCAAACCCAGCTGGAACTGGAGCTCTGTGGAAGAGTTTGACTGATTTTGTTCTTTGTATGGCAGAATACAAATTTGAGTCAATAAAAATGATTTGCCACACTGTGCTGACCTCGCCAAGCTGTTTCAGATTGTTTAAAAAATCAGATGCAAGGGAGAGACAAAGATCCGTGTTGAAACATCAATTTTTCTCATTTTCAAACTACCTCAACACTGTTGTGAAACATTTGATTTTTGAAAGCTCATTTTTAAACTATAATTAGAAGTTTAAGAATCCTTTAAAAGAAATTAAAAATTATGGGTGCAATAAATGGAAAGATTTTGGTTTGGGCTGAATAAAATCATCACTTCTTTGAAGAGAAATTAGTCGGTGTAAACTGAAACCAAGAGAAATTCACACTGGGATAAAACCTCTCAATTTAACAGAAAAGAAAATTAACGAGTGGGATGATTCACTGAAGGGCTGGTGGATTGCTCTGTCACTGGACATTTTAAAATCATTTTTATCTGGGGTTATTTTTCACCACTTGAGATAATAACAAATTCTGAGGCATCCCAGAGCTTCTTGCAGGAGGCCAGACGACACAATCATAAAATCCTTCCTGGCTTTACAATTCCTGGCTCTTTTAATCTCTTTGCTAAGGCAAGTCAATAACGTTCTTCAGGCTGGCTGGAAGCTGCCAGTGATGTTTTGCAGTCAGCACAGAGAAAGAAAACCAGTTTTCGACCCTTCCTTTGCGTTCGATCGCAGAGAGATGAAGTGATGCCTGGACCTCGGTGAGCACCGGAGGGATCCCCGGTGCCAGCCCAGCGTCTTGCAAAAATAGAGCCCGTGCTGCGTTAGAGCACCCCGAGCATCTGTGCCCCGCGGGCCAGCAGCCCTCCTGGGGGTAACGCAGTGCCAGATCCTGCTCAGGTGCCTTCGCCGAGGAAACGTGGCTTTAAAATCCCAGGTTTGCAGGAGCTGAGAGGGGCGAGGGTTGCAGGAAGGGGAGAGATGGAGGTTGCTCGCTTTGCTGATTCTGGAGGTGATTTTTGCAACCCCGGCACATGGTTGGGCTTTGAGGTTGCTCAAAGCGAGCGACGTGTTGCTTCCAAGCAAAACCTTTTCCTCTGCGTCTCGGAGGATGGGGACCGCAGGCAGCCGGTTACCCCGTCTCAGCTGATGGGCAGTGGCTTTCCATACATGCCCACCTCCGCCTCCTCCACGTGCCTGATCATTTTTCAGTCCTCATGCAACAACCCTCACTGGCTGTGGCCCACTCCAATGCCTACTGAAAAAATCAGCATCTTTCGAGGTCTGAAAAAAAGCGGGTCACCTCTCCAGGAGGCCTGGTTCTGCTGCCCATCAGGAGCTATTCCAAATTTATATTTCCACTAACATTTCTCCGTGCAAAATGTCGCAGGCGTCACCCTCTGGATTCTCTTTTCTGGAGGCTCCAGATTTATCTTCTTGCTGGCGCAAAGGCTGGGAGCGAGTGGTTTGGAGATGGAATTTATGAAGCTGAGTTGCCTCTGTGCCCCTGAAGTTGCAGTGGACAGCAAAGGCATCTGAAATCCAGCTGAAAGCCCAAAATGCCAGTGCACACCCTCACCTCCCAGCTCTGGTTTGAACAGGGGTGACCTGGGGCTAAGACGATGCCCCATAAATGCAGGGAAAATCAAGGGACGTGGCATTTCTGCTCACAGCAAGCGCTAGAAAAGCAGGATTTGTGCGTCTGCACCCATAGGCTTGAGGTGTGCAGAACACGGGGGGATCTATTGTTTTATCTGTACTCCTGCAAAACCTGCCTTGCCCAGGCTGCCTCGATTTTGTAGCAATAAGCAACAGTCAATATTTATGTTTTCCAGAGTACTTTGTGGATACTAAAACAACCCCAGCAGAGCTGCCATACCCCGGAGGAGACGTAGGCAGGAGCTCCTTGGAGGGGAGGTGATGAGCACAGTTATCCAGCACATCAGGCACCGGCTGGGGAAGGTCGTTTCTCCTCCAGGTGCCTCCAGTTAGAAGCACACGGCTTATAAAGAGGCGAAGGGCAGCAAACCATTTGCTTTGACCTACTGTAGAGCTACTCCAAGCTGCAAGGCACCAGGCAATGCAGGCGACTCCTCAGTCCGAGTTTAAAACTCTCAAAATTTCATCATTTTCAGCATCAAGAAGTTGCGTGTATTTAATTCGCTCCCCCTGTGACAATGACGGGTCTTCAAAATATGGGATTTTCTTCCTTTAGTGAGTCCCATGGACTTTAATCAGGCAACTTTTCAGTTTGATAACCAAGACAACAGCAGGGACAGTTTTCTCCAAGCCTGAAATTATTTTTGCCCCCTGGGTCTGCACCCCCTCCATTTTTTCTCCTTCCTCAGGACTGTATCCCTTGTACTTTTATTGGTTTCATTCCCTCTACCCCAACAGGAGAAGTTACCTCCTGTCTCCTCATAATGAAACCACTCATCTTTTCGTTGCTAACTGCTTGTTGTTAGCACAGAGGGTTATATGCAATTGCACTTTGCCTTTATGCTGAGTGTAGGAAGCAGCTTACAAAGGAATAAGAAAAGGGGGGAGGCTGAGGTTTTATTTTTTAATTAAAAAATCAGGGTTTTGATACCCAAGAAGATAAGAAGGAGCTGTATTTCCAAGTGTGTTGTAAAACTCAATCGCCATGGGAAACTGCTCCCATGAGGTGCTTTAACCAGTTGGAAACGCAGAGTTACGCTGCAGACAGGGAGCCTTTTCCTTGGCATCGGGGGCTCTGGATGAGGGGAGCAGACCCAGACCAGGCTGAATTTCTTATCCTGATTTCCCCCAGAGGGGGTGCAAAGACTGGGGCTTCAGGCGAGCTGCCGCGCGAGGCATTTCTCATGCGCTCCAAGGGTCAGATAAAAAGCAGTGGTGAGGTTGGAGACAAATACTGTAAATGTCGAGCATTTCAACCAACCAGTACTGCCAGTATGGATTAAAGTCATGGCCAGCGTGGGATTGCTCAGGTGCCAGTGTGGCCAAAGCAGCTGCTCAGCATCTCTGCGGGGACCTGAGGACCACGCTGTGCCCATTTCTGAGCTCTGCATGAGCAGTTGAACCCTGTCTGCGTGCGGATTAAGGGCTCGTAAACCTGATCCGTTCCTGCTTTGCTCCCATCCCAAACTCCTGATGGCTTGCAGAGTAGCCAGCCTTTGCTCAGGATGGTCCTGGCTGCCTTATTCCTTCAGAGCAAAGGTAATAGGATGAAGGAAAGGTTGAGGATTTGGGGGCTCAGGTGCATAACACAGACTTCTCTGTTCCCACAGAGTCAGCAGAAATACGGACAGATGGACCAGAAACTGGGCTGCTTATTCCTCGTGACCTACCTGAATGGCTGAGTTATTGTCGTCTATGAGCGTGTCTGTCACCTCCACCTGCCCTTCCTCCACCACCTTTTGCAGGACCATCTGGAAAGTGCCAATGAGCCTACGGAGCAAAGAAGAGAAAAGTCAGGTGAGCTGTGGTGAGCACCCACCGGTACCGTTTTTAATGAGAAAAGGTTTTGCTGGCCAAGTCGCCCAAGTGTGTGTGGCTGGTTTTGCTTCCCGTTTGCCTTAAGAGGAGGTAGATGTGAGATGCAGGGTCAGAGCACGGCCAAGGGCTCTGGCCGCTGTAACCAGTAACCCCAGCCCAGTGGAGATGGTGGGCAAAGGAGAAGCCATTTCAAGGTAACGCTGTTGGGATAAGAAGAGAAGGAGACTTTGGGAACCATCGTTCTTGTGTTACTGGGATGAAACTAAGGGAACCCAAAGTGGCCTTTTCCATCCTGAATGTCCGCAGTTATCTCCGCGCTAATAAATTGAACAAGGCAAGAACCAGGGCACTGTCCCCCACCCATCTGCACCAGGACATTGTCAGCACAGGAGGTGAGATGGGGAGGTCCCAGGTCAACCTGCCTGACCCCAACCCACCCCCCAGGTGGGGTCAGAGTGGGGCAGGGCACCCCCGGAGCAGGCTGGAAATGTCTGGTTGTGCGGGGGAAGAGTGGAACAGCCCAGCCCAGCTGGGTTGGCCCAGGGTTGGAGAACAGGGCTCGTGTTGGTTGGTTTACTTGGATGGATGTAGTCTGAAGGTGCTGCAGGCGAGTCTGAAAGCTGCTCAGAGGAGAAGACCGAGTCCCTTCTGCTAAGGGAGGTCTAATCTCAACTGATGCCTGAAGGCTCCTGTCTGTCCCAGCCTGCTAGGTATTTTCAAGCAACGCAGCAGGGACCCCGGGAGGCTAGGCTGTCTACATCCTGGGGGCTTTCATAGAATCATTTAGGTCAGAAAAGACCTTTAAGATCATCAAGTCCAACCGTTAATTTCAAGACCCAACCGGAAAAAGCCAAGAGCCACGTGGTATGAGGTCAAGCTGACCCAGCTGTGAGCACGAGGCTGGACTAGAGAGCTCCTGAAATGCCTTCCAGTCGGAATTATCCCGTAATCCTGTGATACGATCCTGCGATCCTTCATCCTGTAAGTATCGCAGTGGTCTGCAGTGTGTGGGGCAAGCTGCATGCCGAAGTTCAGCCCCCCGTGTATTTGTCACAGCCCATGGAGCCGGTGACAACCTCACCCGAGCCAGGCCCACGTGTCCCAGAGCCACAGGGGCTCGTGGACGAAGGGAGGTGTTTACAGCAGGACACGGAGAGGATGGTTTAACACATTATTTCCTCCGTCCCAGGTTGTTCCCACTCTTGTGCTGGATTGGTCCGGCAGCGGAGCGTTCCCATTTTACCTTCGGTGGAAAACAAGCTGGTTCCCCCAACCCCACTGCTGCCCCGAGCATCCTGCCTGGCTGCGTAGGAGCTCCCTCCCATCTCCCCGACCCAAACTGCACGGGCCGACTCCCACCACGGGCTGGGACGGATGCTGAGGGGAGGGTAACACCTCCCAACCACCCTGGCCGTCTCTCCCCCCCCCCAAGCATCCGATCACCACCTGAGCTCCCCCAAGACGAGCAGGAAGAAGGCTCCTCATCGCTCGCGGAGGCTCTTGCCCGGGCTGGCTGCAGCCTGCTGCTCTCTCAGCCAGGGAGTGCAGCACTGTGTGCAATAAAAGCAGCCACGGTTGTTAAATTACAGCTCCAAATAGAATTCCACAGAGAGCGGAGGAGCCTGGCGCTCTCTAATAGAAGTCATTACTTATTTTCCACCTCATGGCTTGTCAAGGAGCCGTGGCTTCATGTTCTGCGGTGGCACCACAGGGACCTTCTCAGCCTGAGAAAAGCCAGCTATGAATCAACAAGTGACTCCTGACACGGAAAAAGCCCTGAAACAGTGACTGCGGAGCTGCCTCACCCCATCTGCCTTGCGTGTCATCTCCGGTGCCGCGATCCCAGCGGACAGTGAAGATGTTACACGGCACACCGGGAATATACCTGCAGAGCTCCGCCGGCTCGGGCCCCTTAAAACAACTGCTGCTGCTGATTAAACGACTTCCTTGCAAACCTTAAGGCTTTGGTTACTTCACTGCTGATTTATCCAGACGTGATTTCAGAGACAAGGACTCCGCATGCTGCGTGGTGGGATACTGGGGGCTCCTGTGCTGCCTCTGCCCCCGTGTAACTCAAGGAAAAAGGGGGGTTACCGCAGGTTTGCCCCAGGTCAGTCTGTGTCAGAGCTGAGGATGGGGTTTGTCTTTCCCCGCTCTCAAGCCCCCCCCTTATGCTTTGAAGCACCCCCTGAAATGCTGGAGGGAAGAGCAAGGTCTGCTCAGCCCTGCTCAGCTCCCCAGGGGCTTCACTGGCTTTGGGGCTTGATTTTCCTGGGTTCTGCCTCTGCCAACCCTCTTTTTTCCCTTCCCCATCCAAACGGCCTTTCTTTGGACGGGTCCCTGTGTCCCCCTTGTGCACACACCTGCGTGTGGGGGGGGAATCACAGAACTGCTGTGGGCGTTTCTCCGACCAAATAAATCCAACTGTGCTGTGTAGCTATCCCACAGTACTCATTTATAACAAAAAGCTCCTCGGGGAAATTAACAAACTACCTGAGGAAAACAGAAAAACGACCTTACTGCTGCTCATCCACCTATCGAGCTCTGCCTGACTTGCAGCAGCAGCAGGGAGGTCCTGCTTCCCAGCAAACCTCCGACGGGTCCTGCTGGAACTTGCTGGCGGTGCTTGGTGCTCCAGGAGCAAAGGAGAGCTGGGGCAGACCTGGCCCCGTGTGCCGTGCAGGATGGGGCCCGTCCCTGCAGGACTTTCCCCTCCCCTCCTCAGGTGTCCCAGCACTGAGCTCCTTTAACTGTCTCCAAGGTGCCGTGTAGGGTATTAGACATGAACTCCTTTTTTTTTTTTTTCCTTTTTGTGTTGCTCCACGCGGAGCCGCCCACGGAGACCTGCTCCTTCTCTGAGATGGGGGAAAAAGCTGCTGAATCAGCCTGGATTTCAGGGTTTGTGAAATAATGCTACTTGCTGTTTGCAAGAGCAGTGGCTCTCTTGTTTTGGAAAAGCTTCCTTGAGCGAAGTCTGCGCTTTATTTCTCAGGATTTGAGCACAGACTCTGTGTTGCAGGGCTCTGGAGGGATGTTCTCTGCCTATGGCTGGATTTGGCTTCAGTCAGGTCAGTTTGGAGGGATGCTCTTGTGGCTTGAGTCCTACGATCAAGTAATTCAGTGCAGTTGCATACTAGTTGGATGTGTCTGTGAGGGTTTGCTACGCTCAGCCCGTAACGCACCGTGCAGCTCTTGCTCTTCTTACATGTGTTTGTAGGTGTCAGTATTATTTAACCTGTTTGCTGGTGGCACATCATAAAAATGCAGCCACCTAAGGTGAGGTGGTGGCTTCTCTGCTGCTCTTAGGACAAGGTGGACCCAGGGACCTTTGGCTCACGGATGCACATTGCCCCAGCGTGGCATGCTGGAGGAAGAGGAAGCTTCTTGCACGGACACAGCGATGGCAGATGTGTCTGTACATAGGAAGACCCCCCTCGGCCATGGGGAAAGTCCTTACTGCTGTGATGGGAAATGCAAAAAACCTGGAACCAGCCTGATCTCCAGAGAATTTACCCCCGGGGCTCAGGCTCCCTTCCAGCTCCTCTCTGCTCTAGAAAAGCTGACTTGCATGAGGCTGCAATCCACCTTCTGATTTATATCCTCGGGAGGATGGTGAACACCAGTGAGCCTGCAGTACTGCAGCCTTGGGCATTTCTGCTTTCTATTGGACCCACAGAGGCTGCTCTGAAGTGATTTCAAGCTGCCTTGCCTTATTTTGCCATTGCCGGGGGTAGGGATGTGCCTGTACTCAGTTTGCCCCATCTCTTGGTCTCCCACCTGAAATCTCCTGCAGCCCAGAGCTCCCAGCTGCTGCTTCAGCAGCAAATCAGTGCAGGGCTGAAACTTTTGCTGATGGGAAACTTGCAACAGGGCTCAGAGCTTTTTGTCCAAGGGCTGGTACGTCCGAATCACAGACCTGCTGTGTGGAAGGGACCTCCTGCCTTGAGCAAGATCGTCACCAACTCTTGATGAGTTTGGCCATGGCTTCATCTACCCGAGCCTCAAAAACCTCCATGGATGGAGATCCTCCCCCTCTTTGCTGGCCTGCTGAGGCTGCACCACCCTCCTGGGGAAGAATATTTTCCTGATATCCCACCTGAACCTCCCAAGCCACAATCTGTGCCTGTTGTTCCTTGTTATTTCATCTGTCATAGAATCATCAAATCACAGAATGGTTTGGGTTGGAAGGGACCTTAAAAATCACCCAGTGCCCCCCCCCGCCCTGGGCAGGGCCCCCTTCCCCCAGCCCAGGGGGCTCCCAGCCCCGTCCAACCTGGCCTTGAACCCTTCCAGGGAGGGGGCAGCCACAGCTGCTCTGGGCAAGGTGTTCCAGTGCCTTACTGTCCTCACAGTATAGAATTTATTCCTTACATCTAATCTAAATCTCCCCTCTTTCAGCTTAAAACCGTCCCCCCTCGTCCCATCCCCACCCCCTGACCCAGAGTCCCTCCCCACCTCTCCTGTCCCCCCTTTAAGCCCTGGGAGGCCGCTCGAAGGTCCCCCCGGAGCCTTCTCTTCTCCAGGCTGACCCCCCCCAACTCTCTCAGCCCGGCCCCCCAGGGGAGCTGCTCCAGCCCCCCCAGCATCTTCATGACCAACTCTGGATGTTACTGTTCTCTCTGTAACCCCCCTTCAAGGAGCTGCAGGCTGCTGTTAGGTGATCCCCTGGTCTCCTTTCCACCAGACCATCCAAGCCCAGCTCCCTTCACCCCTCCCTGCAGGCTGCATGCTCCCAGCACTAGTCAGTTGAGGGTTCATTTCTGGTGGTGGTGGTGGTGTTGACCCCACTGAGAAAGCAACTGAAGTCTTAAATGAGTCATGACTTTGCAATGGTTTGGTGCCTCTAGGGAACTCCATTCCATAGGAAATATCTAGAGGTATCCCAGAGGATATGCTGGGGGGATGAGGGGCTCTTCTGGTTCCTCTAAACCCCCTTGCTGGTGGTGGTGGGA